CTACCTAGAAAATAAGATTCCAAACTCCAAAATATCTCTTTGCGTTACGATATCGAAGGGAGGGCTTCTTTGCGTAAGTTGATATTCATCCTTAAGTTGTGTTTACAGTTTATGTATTTATTACATTGCTAGAGCTTTAGATAAGTGTATCTAGGGTTGGTCACCAGGTTAATGATTGATAGATTGAGATTGAGATTGAGATTGAGATTAACATGTTAGGATATATATTTACATATTCAATCTAATGAAATACAATAATTCAATTAGAGAAGATGTCGCTCAGTCGTATGAGGTAATCGGGCTTCGAGATTTGTCTTATTATTTATATCGTTTGTTTGTGGATTTTCATCGTGGTCATGTATGTATGTATGTATTCAGTACACTGTGTAATATCTCTTTCGTCAAGATTTAGTTATCGATTCATTATCTCTCATTTCGGATATGTGTATACCTACCTAGATATAATTCCAACTAGGAAGTATAGTGCACTCTCCTAGAATATAGAGTCTCAGATCAACAGCTAGCTAGACACATTACTCAAACCGTTCTCTTCTCTTCTTCCTCATTATCCACCTGCGTTCACACACCACCACAAACTCAATATAGACCCAAAATTCTTGATCTCTGTCACATACGACCATAGACTGAGGAGAATTGGGCATCCCGTCCGCTCTGCCATACACAAGCCTCAGATCGGCAGATTAGTAGTTGGGTGGGTGACCACCAGCGAATCCCTGCTGTTGTATGTCTTTTGTTTTTGTTCATCTTTTCCTCATCCCTTCGTTTCTCATCCGTTGCTCTCTTTCTTACAAGTCATCGATCGCGTTGTTCACATCCTAACTTCCTTGGACTTTGAGCGGTCGGTGGGCGCTTTTTTATCGATGGAATTTGAGACTTAGATCAATTAGTCTGTGCTGCAGCGAGGCGAAGATCTATTTATGGTAGTGACCTCTAGAAGATCTAGCGTTGACTTCAATCTCTCAACCAGCGATTGAGAAATCCCCTCGTCTCCCCAGACCCAGGAGAAACTACTAAATCCTGTAGTTTTTGGAAAACCCCTTAACCTATTTATCCTGAGAGAAAGTCGCATTTATCCTCTCCTTGATATGAGAATAGTCGATTCGATATACTGGATTGAGATTCTGATAGGTTCTAGATTACAAAATCCAATGTGAGTGAATCACAGCAGGGAATGCTTAGTTCCGCAATAAAAGCACCAGGAAATTTTAAAATTCTTGTTCTTGTTGCTCTCTCAGATATATGTGAAAATCGCTTCAGGCTACAATTTGGAGTAATAATGATGAGGAGTTTTTTGGTGGAAATCCTTGCGTTTCTTTCTTCTTCTGAGATTGAAAAATCCTATGTTAGTATGTCCTGAACATTTTTCATCTTTTTTTTTGGCCTTTCTATTCTTCCAGTTGGCGAACTCTTTCCTCTCTTGTAGTCTAGGGAAGGAGGGTAGAGGAGAGGAGGAGACTTTTCAAACGCCGCTTTTAATGAATCGATATGATAGCAAAGCAGACTACATCCATATACGCCATCGCTCACCACGCTTACCTTGATTCAAGACTAGTCTCAACTAAGCAATCTTTCGTTATACAAGACTAAGAACCGGCAAGGTTTCCTTTCCTCTTGGCTTCCTGATTAGTGTGTGATCTCTGTTGATATGCTCTGGTGGGGGATCGACACAGTGGCCATCCCAGATGCTAAAGTGTGTTCTGCGAACCTCGATTTGGTCTATCGAGCATTGCAGCGATGGCGCGGTATTTTGAACGAGCATCTGGCGATTTTTGCGGAATATGGTTCGAATTCTGGGGTGTTGAGAGAGTATCTGGAATAGAATCTATTACTCTTATTGATTTTCTGGAAATGGGAATGGGGAAGATTGGAAGAAAGTTAGGCCCGATCCAATTTGGAGGTTGGAGATTTGATAACTTTACGAATGGAATGGAAACTGGATCAGATAGTCACGCCACCGGATTTTAATCTCAAGTGGGGAGAGTCTGTGTTTAGAGTATAGGGTTGTGCGAGTATGTTATGAAAGATTCATTTTCTTCCTGTTCTTTTCGGAATGAGTGTGCTGGATGTGTGTGACGGGATGAACTGGTGGTATGATTTAGTTGTCAGGTAGGAATGGGAAATATGAGACACGAAACGGGAACCTTGGAGTCTAAGATGAAAAATGCGTTTATGATTTCTGTTGATGGAGGTTTGAGGGTAGATTTGTAGGTATCTAAAGCAGATTTGACGGGTGTTGAAAAGGATATCTTTCTTGAAAGATCAGGCTCATAGTTGATCAGGCTCATGATATGATTGGAAGATAGAATGTTATATTCTGAGCATTTTTTGTACTTTAGTTATACTTTGCTTTAATGATATAGCGAAAATGAAGCTTTTGATTTAATAGGTTCAAAGTTATCGCCAAAAGCTTCAGCAGTATGTGACTCAGAAGATGTGTGTCTGAGAAGTGAGCTGATGTTTTAATATATTGGATTCAAAAATGGATAATTCTCATACTCTGAATTTTGCACAGTCATTGAGATAGTATACGACGTATTTTCTATGCACCTCATTACCGTGAGGCGTATCGCATTCTTTATCATATATTTCAATATATAATATTGAATACTATATCACTGGAATCATTGAGGTTATTATCCAATATTGTATACTACTAATAGGATATAGAAATACTGGAATTCGATAAATTCCTTTCCAGATATGAAATATTGAAGTTATTTCCATTGGAATTTATTGAACATTTCTGAATTCCTATAATAATATAGCTGAACCCATTAGGAATTTATCAAATTTTAGTAATTCAATATGTTGTTAGTATTCTTCAATATATCTGATACATATTTTAGTGAATAATTCAGCAATTCATATATGTTAATACAATATATAAGTATTCAATATTAACCACTATAATACTAACTTATACTAACTTATACTAACTTAAGAACTGATTTTATAAAGTTCGATCAATTATTCTTATACCTTAGAAATCGAAGCTGTTTTACTTTCAAGACTTGTGAGCTCTAGTCTATTGACTTTAGAAGCTATCTCAAAAGTATAGGGTTTAGTCCATATAGAATTAGGGAATCGATTTCTCATCATAGAATCTAGCCTCTCTTCTATCACAAAATATAGTCTATGTTAAATTCGAGGGTATAAGAGTGGAACAGATAGTGTCTTTAGGGAATGGGATTAATTTATCGTAGATTCAGATTTATGAATATTAATATAACTATAAATTTCAAATCTAAAACACGCAAATTCTAGTATTTCGATATCTCTTTGGTAATACCCCTATCAGATAATATCTATCGCTGTATATATTTATTAGAAAGACACATGTATATCACTAGTATAGCTCTACAGCTCACTAGTGTAATCTTCCACTTTATATAGTTTACTTTCAATTATTTACAACCTAATAAGAATATACACTTGATCCACATTCTATAATATTGTTGAATAATATACATAATATCGTGTATATCGGAATCGCAATATCAATTACAGTTGTAATACCGTATACTAATTATATCACCGAGTCGCTATCGCCGCTCATGTTATGATAAAGTGATGATACGTAGTAAATGATGTTATGTATCTATCTACTTATTATTCTCGGTTATTGATCTCTACTGGCATCGATCACATACGTTACGCTGTCAATCTCCTTGCTTATATATCTTCCTCAGTGTAGTCATCGCCATACTATTCCAAGTCAACGATGTTTGTCAAAAGTGGAGCGGAAGCTCTGCAAAATCTTCTAGTCGGATATGCTAAAAAATACCAATTTGGCAATCCATCTTGTCGACTTCTTGAAAAACCAAAGCGTATTCGGAAATTTGTGGTCTGCACCCATATAGAAACTGGAATCTCGAATTTGCTAGCCTCAATATACAGGCAAAATGTAGCATATTAGAAACACAGCGGCCTATGTACGAAAGACTATCATTCGATTGGCCAACAATAGAAACAACGACTGGCGCTTAGATCTGTTGATGCGTACCATAAAACGTCCTCGTTAGTCGTACTGCTGGTCAGACCGCAAAGGTAGACTAGATTCTTCCTGGTGAGACACACAGAGGCCAACAATCAATGGCCGGAGAATATTTTTGGAATCAAGATGGCATAGAATTATATGACGTGGATCAAAGGTCAATGTAGAAGACCGTATAAGGTTGACATAGATGTTTGAGACGAGAAAAATGATACAAGTGAATCATACCCGTCGTGACCACTTGGTGACCTCTAAAGTTGCATCAATACATGTGTTGGTGGCTAACACCCGGCCAGTCATTAATTTTGGGGTTTTTTCTTTCAATTGACCATCTGTCGTTCGGCTGTATCAGACTTTCAAATTGATTTTGGATATCCTCGATCAGCACCGAAGATCACACTCCGTGGAAGAGGCAAGAACCATTTTCTCGAGGTTGTGTGTCCAACAAGGACAACCAATCAGGGTTTCTGATAATTTGGATCACCGTCTATATTGAAAAGATTCAATTTTCACAATAAAACTTGAGTGTATTAAGATTTCAAGAAAACATTTCTAGAGATTTTGGACATGCTCCATGCTTTGTTGTTTGAGATGTCTATAATCTTGAAGACCTGCTAATTATAGCATCAATTCATCAATATCAGATAATATGGACACCCCCGGGCGGCGGGGTCAGTAGAGACCGTCGACCGATCTCATAGCATTTACCACGAGGGTCTTTCCGAATTTTCCCTGTCTACTTGCTCAGTCTCTTCACCTGATAAGTGTTGAGTTTCAAAAAAATTGACACTTTGTAGCTCAAAGCAGCCAATTGGCTTGTTGTTTTGTGGTATATATAGTGTGAGGAGGGATACCAAGATGGAGTATATATTTCACATTCCAATCTACTTTGCTATATAGAAAGACACTTCATCTCTGCTGCCAAGAAACTATTATCCCACACGGGCTATACCAAACATCAAGTATTAAATATCATACGATCACCATGTCAAGCTCTCGTGATCTTGTGCCATTGACAGTCACAATTAGTCCCAGCAGAAGTCAATACCTTTACTTTCCTGCCGAAAAAGACGACAAGGGTAGAGTCGTGAGACGACTTATAGTTTTCAGGGAGTCGAAGGTTGAATATGTAAACGCCGATCAAATTGAACCGGGGGTTGACGAGAGAGAAAAATGCTATATCAAAGTCGGCACCAAATCCAAGGATTTAGTTTATGAATCGACAAAACACGAAAAATATCTTTCTGAAAAGCACCATGTGAGTATTATCCAAGATTCGGAAAGGGTCACAGTGACATTTGCATACTGATGTTTTGGCATAAAGCCTAAGAGTAAAATGAATCACGTAATGAATGTCTGGGCGTCGAAAGGCTGGGTTTTTGATGTTAAAGGCAATCCTCTGCCATCTTCTCTCCCAGCTTTATCTGAACAGTCAAGCGTCAAAACGGGCACGCCACAAAACACTCAAGGAAAGAACAATCTCTTCGGCAATACTCTCCAAACTATAGCAAAAGAAAAAACAGCCGAATTGGAGGCGTCAAACAAAGCTAGAGATGGTAAAAGCGTCTCTAGTAACCCTCAAGCTTCGTCTAAGCCGAAAAACGCCAATAGAAAAAGAAAGGACAAAAAGGTGGGACCTTTTCTGGTGTCAGATAGTGAGTCCGATCCCGATTTTTCATCCGGTTTAGAAAGAAAACCTGTGAATCCGAAGCCTGCAGCAGATAGCAAACCAAAAAAGGTAGGGGGAGAAAATGAGAGAGCAGTGCATGAGAAACAGCCAATCAGAAATGAGGCATTAAATAAAACTAGGGATAGTAAAAAAATCTCCAGTCCTCTCTCAATTTCATCTAAACCAACAGACGCCAGGACCCCCAGGCGAGGACCTCCTAAGGTGTTAGATAGTGAGTCCGATTCCGATTCTTTATTCGTTTCAGAAAAAAAACCTGCGCATCAGAAATCTGCGGTAGATGACAAGAGAAGAAAGGCAATCAGGAACCCTTTAGCGAGGGAATTGTTTCCGTCGGACGAAGATGATAATTCCACATCTTTAGAACCGCGCCACAAATCAAAAACCGCAGGAGGCAAAACTATAGAACCTACTAAGCCTGCCAAGAAGACGACAACGAATACTGATCTAACGGGCGACAAGTCCAACAGAAGAGAGGGACGTGAAAGATCAAAGTTCGAGAGAGTTGGAGCGACTGGTGAATCGAGTGGTGGAACCGCAAGGGCGCGTGATGATCGTAGTAAGAGCCCTGAAAGAGCCTCTAGAAAGCCTGAAGTCCAGCGTCAAAGGGGAGACAGTTCCCGTACTTCCTCTCGTACACCCGCAGGAGTGGCAGTAAAGAAAGAAAGCACGAGCACAGGTAAAAGTCGTTCATCCAGAACGCGCACTGGCAACGAGCTTGCCTCAACCGCAGGCTTATATTACGAGTCTAAGGGTGCCTACACCCAGGGGAGAAAAACTTGGTCTACTGAAGAGATTGACCCAAACAGACCACCAACAGAAAAGGAGCTACGAGATATGGAACTAGAGGATGCGCGAAGGACGTGGAAAAAGAAGCATGGAACAGAGCTTTAATCAAACCGAGCTCGGACTACATAGAAACAAATTGACGGGATAAAAATCGACGCTTATGGCGGGAAAACAGGCGAGGAAGCGAATATATATAAAGTAGATCAACAAGTACCGTAATCACTTAAAGTATAGCAAATTGACAATAAACTAAATACAGCATATAAAAGAATATGACATCCACATTGTGCTGTATGAAACGTGCTCTTCCTTGACAGATCTGGCCCTTTCCAGCTATGTGTTGTTTACCAAGTACCTCGTTTGCCTTGCGCAGGCTTACCGATATCAGCAGCTAATAGATTATTCTTAAGAGCTAATATCTATACTCTTTACTAATCCAGACTGATTCAGCAACTTTTGCAATAAAAAAGATCGCATGTTGGTGAGCTTTCTTGATGTCGAGCAATACGATCTCTAACTAAAGATGATTGCGAAAGAGCATCGGTTGAGTCAACTATGAAGTGTTTGAAAGATCTAGGACCAATAGTCGGCATTTGCAGAAGGGATGTTTATCTGAAAGTATGTTGTAACTACTGAGCTACTTCTTAGGTCTTGTGTATAATGCGAGGGAAACGTTTTGAAATATGGTATCAATATCGTCTGATAGATATTTACCATACGTACAAAATTTGAGAACAAAAATTGGCTGAAAAATCACTGGGAGGGGTGATTTTTAGTAGTACTCAAGATATGATTGAGATTTCGCACTAAGGATAGGGGCCAACAAACGCGAGGTTTTCCCAACCCCTCTTCATCTACTTTCTTCCTCATCTCGATAAATCTTCCATTCCACGGTATTCTTCAAACTCCACGTCCCCCCGACGGAGTGGAATCGATTGTTTGATGACAGTCACTACTAGGTAGCATTCAAAATCTCAGCAAGCTTCACGCCCCAATTGCTAATCTATTGGATGGTCAATAGCAAATTTCACTAAATCACTTATGGGTGGACTGGCTTACCATAGAACGTTTCATCATCGAAAAGTGATTACCCTCGGTCGGAATCACCGTCACGTCTCCCAAGAGCTCTTCCCACCCAAGAGATCCATCACTGACTCTATCATCCAAGAAACAACTCACTATTCTCTGCTCCTCGGGCAAGACCTCTGGTCTAGGTATTTGATTCTGCTTATCCAATCCCTCTCTCGCCAGGAATAGAACAGCGGAGGGAATCTTTCTGCCTGGTAACTTGCTCACTTGGTACCTTGACAACTGTTGATTTGCCAGCGTAAAATGATCATTCTTTCCTCTTCTCTTTTCTTGAATTTCTTCCGCGTTAGTCGCGCGGACTTCCATGATTGAATCTAAAAAGTCCACCAGGGCTTTTGGAAGCGAGGTCGAGAAGGTCGGACATGCGGTGTCAATTATGAATAGCTTCTCAACCTCATTGTCGTCTTCAAGAAGCTGTCGTACAATCTCATAGGCTACAACGCCGCCGAAAGAGTACCCGCCGATCAGGTACGGGCCTTCGGGCTGCTTCCGCTTGATTTCTGCTACGTAGATAGCAGCGAGTTCCTCAAGTGTAGGTGGCTGTTTTGGATCGGGTTTAATTATCGTGAAGGGACTATCAAGTGCATAGACAGACACATTCCTGACAGCAACCAATGACGGCTGAAGGTCTCTAAATACGGCACCAGAACCAAATCCACCAGGTACAAGGAACAAGTTTCGATTTCCTGAAGCAAAATTCGCACGGTGCAAAAGCATGGAGTAGCAGAAATGAAAAATGGTAATGCAGATATGGAAGTGGTAGAAATTGCGCGATCTGTTAACGATGTCAATGAAGACGATGATCTAGGCGGTGGAGGTGCAACAACAACAGCAGCATTGCTACCTGAAGCACCGAAGTTGTTGACTAGTGCTAACCGCAAATCGGCACTCCACTGTTTCTGTAGTGACGTTGAAATAGACATTTTGTCAGTTTCGAGATCTGGAATATTGGAATTTAATGTCTTGAACTGAGCCTGGATGGGGATTTTGCCGTACTTCATCATGAGCAAGACCTTGATTAGCGACACTATTCCTGAGGCTCCCTCGGTATGTCCAATATTTGCTTTTACAGAGCCAATCTGCAATATAGAATGTCTATCCTTCCCACCAAGAACTTGTCGAATTCCTTTTATCTCAATAGGGTCACCAGCACACGTGCCTGTACCATGGGCTTCCACGTAAGATATACCCCCCGGATTGACTCCAGCTCGGGCCAGTAAATATCTGTATAATGCTGTTTGACTCTCCAGAACAGGGTTGGTGATACTTGTATAATTTCATTTTGATTGTTGCTGGTAGCCAACAGCACCCATTGGATTTCATCCCCATCTTTCAGTGCCTTATTCAGCGATTTCAAGACCACGATGCCCACGGCTTCACCACGGCAGTAACCATCAGCCCGTGCATCGAAAGCCTTACAACCTCCTGTCTTGCTAAGAAATCTGCCCACATGTAAAGCTTCGTACAGCACAAGATTGGTTATTAAATTAGCACCACCTGCAACAGCGCGTGTGCATTCTCCTGTCTGAATAGAGCGGCAAGCTTGGTGAAGAGCGACCATTGATGAGGAGCACGCCGTATCAATGGTTTGTGAAGGACCTGTCCAGCCAAAGTGGTGACTTAACCGCCCGGCTACGTAAGAGCGATGCATACCAACGCCTGTATATGGTGAAGCTGGGTGGGAAGCCAAATTAAGAGCATAATCAGGTGCAATCATGCCGATGAAGCAGCCTGTCGTATCTTTGTTTTGAGTTCTCTCATGGGTCTCTGCTTCCTGCTTCTGGCCACCGCCAAAACAGTTTGCTGATTCTAGTGCATGGTAAGTTGTTTCAAGTATTGTGCGCTGATGCGGATCTAGAGCCAATGCTTCGCGCTTTGATTTCTTGAAAAACTGATGGTCAAATGAATCAATATTTGACAAAAAGCTACCCCACATCTTATCCTTATTGACTGCATCAGGGAATCGCTTCGAGTCGACCTCGCGCTCCATGGTCCTGCCGGTCTGTATTGCTTCCCAAAGGTCTTCTGCGGAGTCTCCAGCCGCTGTCCGGCAAGCCATACCAACCATTGCCACTGCATTCTCTGGATAATCTTTGTAACTTGTAACATTAAAATTCTGCTTTTTTTCCCTGCGTGGTGTGATATGCTTGAGGATAGGATGTCGCAGCGGTTCGTTTTCATCAAGCTCCAATGCACGTACCACCGCCGCATGGTCAGTTTTCAACCCCGCAATGCGATCCCAAGCCTCAAATGCTTCTTCTTTGCACATGTCGGTGATACCCCTAATCTGTAATCCCCTGTTGACCGTCCTCGTTGACGACTTGCTCTGCGACACCATAACAACGTCACGCCAGCAAGTCCATTGAATTGATATACTGTTATCGCCTTCGCGTCTTCTCTGTGTCGCCAGACCGTCCAAAAATGCGTTCGCGGGGGCATATGTCAACTGACCTGGGGATCCTACGAGCTGTCCTATTGAAGATGCAAGCGTGAAGAAATCCAGATATGTAGATTTGAAGCAGCATCATTAACCCTATCATTGCTTCCCGGTTTTCCTATCTATTCAAGCTAGCCAGTACGGTTAAGTTTTAACCCCAACAAGGTTCTTTCCGCATCATTCAACGTTCCAAGATACTTCATTCATTCCTAATTTATTCGTATTTCTCTAGTCCCTCCAGGTCCAGATCCAGTACCCAACAACATTAACCCCCAGCAAAGAACATTTGCCATTCATCTGAACAATCAGTCAGGCAATCCTATGAGATCTGATCAATCTTCAAAGAATCCACCCGCCAACCGAACACTCCAACTATTTAAGCGATATTTCTGCATCCATTTCTATCCAGGGCATTTTATCCTTCAACAAACTCTGGAAAATAAAAGCAGAACAGATACAAGCAAGCCATATAATGAAAAACACAACATCACAAAACAAATGATATCCATCGTTCAGCTGGCACATTGATTCTTTTGTATACCCGATCCAATCCACAAGATGATTATATCCTTCCCTTCTTCCCTCCTTCAAAACATATACAATCATCAACAAATCACCACTCAAACTTACCCATCACCCATCACCCATCACTCATCCACCCGCCCCCCCAAAAAATCCAAATCTCAACTAATAAACTAACCAGCTCACCAAGACTTCATTTCATCCAACACACTTCAAGTTCCAGAGAAAGAAGACCTTGCACGATGACAGGGAATACCAAATTCAAAACTCCATACCACACCACACCATCTAACACTCACATTTTTATCATTCCAGCTCGCTATTATACGCGTGGCCGATGTACGAACATTCAATCACCCAATCTCACAAATCAACCAAACTTCTCTATCCATACAAGAAATTATCCTTGTGTTCATTCATATGTTCCTATTCTTCTCGGGAATCACCCCTATGCATCTCATCTAGCTCATCTCATCTTCTCTCATCACATCTCAATCCTAGCCTACTAAAAAGATAATCTGACTTCCCAATCACAGATATATCAATACCAATCATATCAATATCAACCTCCCGCATTTTCCCTTTCCCCTGATATCCCCACAAACTCCTCGCAAAAATGCAAAACAGACAAGTTTAGTTCCTACTAAACAGTAGACCTATGAACCAACAGATCCCCTCATGGTCTATACGATCCCTTATGTACTCCGAAGAAAATGCAATTAATTCCGTTACCTAACCATTCCATCCATAAAGGTATTTATTCATTAATACATCCATGAATCCATTCATCCATCCTACCAGATCAGTCCCTTCCCAATCCAAGGACACCTCATACCATTTGGTCTCAGACTTTACAATCAAAATGATATTATGACCATTTGATGTCACCACTAGGCGGTCTCGTCGTTCTCCTTCTATTCAACTTATGCTCTGGCCCACTAACCGCATTCGAAGACGTAGGTCTGATCGGCTCTCGTTCACGTTCTCTCTCTCGTGGCCTAACTCCATTCTCTCTATTTTCCCTTCTAAGATGTGATGGGTCATCCCTAAGCTGCGG